CTTACAACCTTTCTATTGAATTTATTACCTTTATATTTTATTAATTATTTTTTAAATATTTTTTCTATTTTTAGTAGAGACAGAGTCTCACTCTTCCTCAGGCTGGTCTTGAACTCTTGAGCTCACGCAATCCTCCCACCTCAGCCTCCCAGAGTGCTAGGATTACAGGCATGAGCCGCTACACCTGGCCTCCTGGGTGTATTTTTAATCTTTCAAGAGTTCTTCCTGATCTCTGAATGGTATTTTGTTATAGTCTCCTGTATTTTTTTTTTTTTTTGAGACAAAGTCTTGCTTTGTTGCCCAGGCTAGAGTGAGTGCCATGGCGTCAGCCTAGCTCACAGCAACCTCAAACTCCTGGGCTCAAGTGATCCTCCTGACTCAGCCTCCCGAGTAGCTGGGACTACAGGCATGGCCACATGCCCGTAATTTTTTTTTCTATATACATCAGTTGGCCAATTAATTTCTTTCTATTTATAGTAGAGATGGGGTCTTGCTCTTGCTCAGGCTGGTTTCGAATCCTGACCTTGAGCAATCCACCCGCCTCGGCCTCCCAGAATGCTAGGATTACAGGTGTGAGCCACCACGCCTGGCCGCCTCCTGTATTCTTAACCATCGCCTATAACGCCCTATGACGCTGTTTTTAACCCTAGCTGCATGTCACAAAAACCTCAGGAGCTTTTAAAAACTAGTGATGCCCAGGGCTTACTCTCAGGGATGTATGACTTATTAGTCTGGGAAGAAGCCCAAGCATGGTTTTGTTTTTGTTTTTTTTAAACTGGCTGTCTCTTCACTAGAATGTAAGCTCTTATCACCATGTCCTTTATGTCTAGACTGGAGCCTGGCACATGGGAGGCATTCATTAAACACCTGTTGAAGGAATAAACAAAGCACTGTTTGTAAAGGAAGATTACTGTAAAATAAGAACAAATTATAGGCAACTTGCTACTTTTGTTTGTTTTCTCTAAATATATATGAAAATCTAATGCCCAACAATTAAATAGTAGTCTCACATGTCAAAAAGGTATTAAAAATCTGGAGAATTAAAAAGTATCAGCCGGGCTCGGTGGCTCATGCCTGTAATCCTAGTACTCTGGGAGGCCGTGGCAGGAGGATTGCTCAAGGTCAGGAGTTCAAAACCAGCCTGAGCAAGAGCAACACCCCATCTCTACTATAAATAGAAAGAAATTAATTGGCCAACTAACATAAATAGAAAAAATTAGCCGGGCATGGTGGCGCATGCCTGTAGTCCCAGCTACTCAGGAGGCTGAGTCAGGAGGATCGCTTGAGCCCAGGAGTTTGAGGTTGCTGTGAGCTAGGCTGACGCCACGGCACTCACTCTAGCCTGGGCAACAAAGTGAGACCCTGTCTCCAAAAAAAAAAAAAAAAAAAAGTATCATGAAATTCCCTATTTCACCCAGCCTTTTAGGGAAAGTCACTAACAACACATTCCTTGGAGCTAGGATGTTAAAAGTGAATTATCTTCATTCATCTTAGTTTTTACTGAGACCCCCTTAAACATAGTCCCTGGGCCAAGGAGACGAGAAGGACCAATGCAGGACTGCAAAACCAGGTGGCTCTGAGGGATCTCACGCTTCTACTCAGTCTGTAGCCTACAGGAGAGCTGGAAGTTAAGAGGACAATTTTCAGAGGCTATTGACGTGTGTGTCTCACCACCCATGGAGGGAGCTGTGGGGTTCTGCTTCCCCTGGAATCAACAGAGAGAGAGTGTGCAGAGGGGAACCTTGAGAGCCAGGGGCCAAAAGGAAAGAGAGAAGGGGTCAGCCCCAAAGAGCTCATCATCTTCGGGAAAGGGACTGCAGGCAGGAGCTGCCCATGCCCGACAGGAGTGGTGGAGGCATGCCCCTGAAAACTCGTGAAAAGCATACCTGAAGCGAAAGGTTCAGCTTTAGACACTCACCAGGCTCAGAGAGCCAGAAGCCCGTTCACAATGGTATCTGTAAACCATGAACTTTCCTCTCCCCATCTCACCCTTCTCTTAGCAACATGGGCAAAAGAGGTGACGGCACAAGGTGGGCAAATAAAATAAAGGGCAAAACCAAACACTTGCTGGTGTCCTGCAGAGTGGAGCTCCCAGCAGGCCCACGCTGGGAAAGGGGTGTCTCCAAACGCAGTTCCAAGCGTCCTTCTCGTCCTCGCCAGCTCCCCACGGCAGGGCTTGCCCTACGTCCACCAAGGGGCAGGAAACTGCCTGCCCTGGAGAAGAAATTTAGACTCTGGGAGGCCAACATAAAGTTGCCTTTGATCTAATTGAGCCTGTTTATCGTAGTAGCAGGACTAGCATTTTGAACATGTTCTGTAATTGTGTTATTTTCCTTTTTACTTGAATGTATGATCAATCAGCTTATGTTTGCTAAGCAGTGGAGGGTGTCTTAATAATTTGATGTTTGGTAGAAACCAACTTAATGGTTTCTACCTGCTGTGCTGATGGAATGTATGAGACCTCCATTTCTCATTTTTCCCTTTTCTGGTAAGCCAGAAGTTGGTGTGGAAAGATGAAGATTCACAATGAAACAATGTACAAAAGTGCAGTTGGTTTCAGAACCAGACATATGAAAGAGGAGAAAGCCTATAATCCCAGAAGTGATTTTAGTTTTTAGAGAATTGGGAATACCAGCTCACAGAGGTAATACCAGGTCGGAATTCTGAAGCGGCAGCTAAGCATTTCCCCAAACAGCAGGCCCCTGCCCAGGGACCCCAGACAACAGCTGCACCTTGGAGGGCAAAAGCCATACCTGGGGGAAATCAGAACAGGGGCTGCCTCTGGGGAGTGGGCTGGATTGATTGGGAAGCAGCAGCATGGAGCTTTCTGGTGTTATGTGTTCTGGAAAGGGGGGGTGAGGATACACAGGGGTCAGCACTTGTCATTTAAGATTTGTGCACCTCACTGCGTGTACATCTTATCCTCCAAAAAAGGAAACAAACTAATGATGTGCACAAGGAAGAGTTTAGGGGTGTGTACTGTCTACAATAAACTTTGAAATGCATCAAAAATAAGATGGATGGAGGGATGGAGAGTTATATGACACACAAATATAGCAAAATGGTTAACTATAGAATTTTGGTGGAAGGTATACAATTTTTTCAATTTCTCTGTATGTTTGAAAATTTTCATAATAAATACTGGGCACGGACACAACTTTGCTATTTTGGCAAATGAACTTCTGAAACCCAGAAACCATGCCCTTCCCTCCAGGCCTAGGGGAGCTATCAGTTTCTAACCTTGACAGGTACTGTATTCCTGTATACTTGCTACTCTTAAGTACAGAAACACTAGGATTTTGCACGTATAATATCGCTACAGACTTTTAAAAATCTGAATTTTGATATCTTGAGTCCCAGCAGTTATACTTGCTGCGTTACAAACTCAAATGCACCCACGGTGGGCTGATGTATGAAATCCCACTGCTCGAGGGACTGGAAGAGCATCTCTATTTTCACAAGTCATCAGGTTTTCCCCAAAGACATACTAAGCCTAAATTTTCCCCCGGACCTTGATGGAACAGTTTTGGATAGAGAACTTTAACGAAAACAAGAGGGAGTGGCAGAGAGACAGGCCCCCAAACCCGAATCCAACCCTTGCTCCGGAGCCAGAACACCTCCCTCCAGGGACCAACCCCCCCCTCACACACTAGAAACCAGACCCCTGACCTGCTTCCCCATTATCCTTCTTGGAGAAACTCAAGCCAGAAGGACAGGGCAGCCTCAGACTTGGATCCTGATCTCTAACAGCTTCTGAGAACAAAAGGAAGATACTGGTGGCCAAACCCCACTTTCTTTTAAAACAAGGAATCCAGGAGATAATTACCACGAGGAGACATTCTCAAGGGTTCCTCCTGAGCCCACAGGGACAGGGTGAACAGTAGTGTTTCCCAGAGAACCAATTTTACTTGAAGATTGGGGGAAAACTATCTGAAAGGATTATTTTTGTATTAAGATATTATAAAGTAGAAAATTCTTATTTTCTTTATAGGGTTTGGATTAGGGTTAGCATGAGGGTACGGGTGAGCACTTTCATTAAAATAGGAACTCAAAAAGGAGTTTTGTCAAGCCCTGATAAACTATACCCCTAAACTCCCAAGGGTACAGGTTTTACTCTTCTGATACCATTAAGAAAGCTTCACTGGAAAAGCATTTTTGCTAGATGAAGAACACACACTGTAGATAGTGGTGACTTCGGGGGCAGGGAGAAGGACAATGGAGGGGGATTTCCAGGATTGCACTACAGCTTTGGGGCTTTTGCTTATGTAACAACAACAACAACAAAAAAAGACAAAAAGAAAAACCTAAAAAGTAAATACACGTGGCTTCTGGGGCAAAAAAAAGCCAGGGTGCTTCTGGAGGATGGGTGGCCAAAACCTCACCGAGCACAGGCAAGTTCTAGGAACCTCTCGGTGAGAGGACCCTGGCACCCCCCATTCTAAGGTCTTCGGGGGCAGATATTTACCCCGGGCGAGCTCAATCTGGTGGATGAGAGCGCCTACCCAGGTCTCCGGGGTGGGCGGTGTGGAAAGAGCAGGGCTATGAGTCGGAGACTCCGCTCCTGGCTGCGGGGCCTTAGGCAAGCCATTCGCTAGACCCCAGTTCCTCATCTCTCAGGTGGCTTCACGCTCTGTAGGAGGTACTGTGAGGTGGTATCTACTATACGTGCCAACCAGGTGTATTTTGGGTCCTCAATAAACATCACTCTACTGCTTTCCCCACTGCAGTATAGTAGAAAGAAGTCTTTCAAAACACTGGCAAGAGTGGGAAATGATAAAAGGGGCATCTAGGGATAACAGGCCCAGAAACTGGGGCACCAATTATATACCAAGCTACACTCAGTGAGTGTGGCCACAGGGGCACCAGGAGCAGGCCTCTCAGAGGCCGTGAGCACTGTCTGCCACCAGGGGCTGGGGAGGCACCTGGCTCAGTCTTCAGACCATGTGATTACTCAGGAAGAGAGCCTTGTCAACCTAGTGTTTAAAGACACAACAGCAGGGTAAGCATTTCAGTTATTTTTAGTTAAAGAAAAACAGCTTTTTCCAAGGGCAACAAAGTGAACTGAAGGTCAGAAGGAAGCTGGGTGTGGACTTCTCACAAGCTCTTGCTCCAAAACCTGGAAGTGAGGAAAGAGGGCCCTCCTGGGGACTCTGGGGAGACTGGCGCAGCAGGGGCATTCCTTTGGCAGGGTGGGCAGAGCTGCCAGCCCACCCATGGCCACGGGATTGATCTGAGTGGGCTCTAAGGCAATTTCCAAGTGCCAGTCTGCTGACATGATGAACGTTATTTTTGAGGGGCATTAAATTAAGGAATGACACAAGGAGCCAAAGAGTGGCTTATTCGGTTGGATTCTGAATCACAATCAGGAAATAGTCTTTATCTGCAAAAGAAAAAAAGGAAAAAACAAATCACTAAATATCAAATGAGAGAAAAACATAATAAAACAACTACATAATTGAATCACCAACCATAAAATGGGGGGAAGGGAGGAGAGCAATAAAAAGCATCAGTGCTCTGGCTAATTCCACTTGCTGGGAAAACAGAAGACAGGCTTGCGAGTTTCCTGTGGGAGCTCCTGCAAGGGGAGTCTTGCCCTTTCCCGGCACCGCATCCTCTGTTCTGATCCTCCCCACTGAAGGAACATCAGATAGGCAGGACGCTGGTCCCTGTTTTCCAGGTGGGGACACTCAGGTTCAGAGAGTTTCACTGAACTGCCTGAGGCGGCAGTTCCCAAACTAGAGGGCGTCCCAATCACCTGCAGGCTGCCGGGGCTCCACCCATAGGGCGGCTGATTCAGTGGGTCTGGGAGGAGCCCAAGAATGTTCATTTCTGCTAAGTTCCCAGGTGCTGTTGCTGCAGGTTCTGAGAGAACCATTAGCTTGAGGTTACCCAGGTAGTTAGTGTCAAAGATGGGATTCCAACCATAACCTCACTGGTCTTGAGTTAAGGTCAGTTTTTGCTTCAAGCTCAGTTGTTGGCTTTCCAGATCCTTCCAGACAAGAAAATTTCAAAGGCACTAAGTCTAAAAGGGGACAAAGCTGCCTGGATTCCAGCACCAGTAAGAAGAAATGTCCTCCAGGAAATCACAGTAAGTGCGAGTCCTCCAAGGGTGAGTATGACCACCTCTCATTTTATAGAAGGGGAAATTGGAGAAGCAGGGTGTTTCAACTTTGCCCACTTAATAATCAAACCACAAACATTTACTAAAGCTTCCACGTGTCCTGGTCTGGGTCAACCACTTTCATGTGACACCTCAATGAATTCTCAAATCACTCAGAGAACACTGGGGCTCAGAGAGTTAAATTGCTTGCCCAAGCCAAGGAAAATATACAGCTGCCAGAGGGGCTGGGGGTGGGGGGGTGGGGGGGTGGAATGGAGATGGGGAGAGGCTGGGTTTGACCCCAGACTCTAAACTCCTGTCTGCTGCCCCCTGCTGAGCATGAGCGAAATGGCAGGACCTCAGCCATGTCTGCTTTGTGGCTGTTCAGATTCAAGCCTAAACCTTGGTTCTTCCCATTATGATGGGTTGTTGCAACTGGGTAAGAAACAGAAATTAAATGACTGACAGTTCCATGGCTAGGCAATTTGAATAGACAAAAAAAAAATCACTAATAAAAATAGAAATAATTGGCTGGGCACACGCCTGGGTTCATGCCTCCCATGCAGTGGGAGGCCCAGGCGGGAGGATCACTTGAGGCCAGTAGTTTGAAACCAGCCTGAGCAAGAGTGAAATTCCGTTTCTACAAAAAAACAGAAAAATTAGCCAGGGCTGGTGGCTACTCCCCAGCTACTCAGGAGGCTGAGGCAGGAGGATTGCTTGTGCCCAGGAGTGTGAGGTTGCTGTGAGCTATGATCATGCCACGGCACTCTAGCCCAGGTGACAGAGTGAGACCCTGTCTCAAAAAAAATTTTTAAAAAGAAATAATTAAGTCACAGATATAAACAGACAAAATAATAACTGTTTTTAATTCCAAATTATCAAACTCTAAATCCAATAAGCACCTCAGCTTTGTGAGACTTAGTGTTAGAAGTTGTATATGCTGAGTTTCCTGAGCTTTATTTTGGTGAGGCGAAAACCTCACCAAAGTGAAAACCAAAACTCTTGTCTTAAAATGTCTCTTCACATGGGCTGTTCTGGGCTAGGATGGGGTGAAATTTGGTACATATGAGTTCAGCCAAACTGTCTGAAACCACCTGCTATTTGTGGCATGGGAAGCAGCTTCTCAGTTGGATCAATGAGTCAGATCAGGTGGGTAGGAAGGGCCACGGATCTCCTTCCTGGGCTGGGCTGCTCCGCTTGCTCACCATGTGTAGGGTGCTAATTACAGTCCCACGGGGCCACCTCATACACAGCAGCTACCCCTGTTTGGCTGGGCCTGCCCCGGGCGTGTGCTCTATGGCCATCCTAAGGCAATCCAGCCATAATACCTCCAAGGCTCTGGTCAGTGGTCCTGCCCACAGGAGTTCTGGCATCAAAACCCATTATTTTTTCTTGGCCACAGCACAGTGTGTGTGTCCAAGTGTGAAAGCACTGTTTTTTATCCTAAATCCCATGCCCCAGATATCCCTGACCCTGACCCCATCCCCCCTGCTAACCCACCCCTAACACAGCAGTGGACTATCAGCAATAGAGGAGGTTCAGGAAGTCATTCAGTCAGTTACTCAATAGTTATTTGTTAAATGCCTATAAGTCCTTGCCCTCATGGAACTTACTGTCTAGTGGAGGAGACAGACTTAAAAATGCAGATAAGCATCTGGTTAGCCAAGTGACAAGGAAAGAGTGTTTGGGCAGCAGAACAGCATGTGGGAGGACCCCAGGGAGAGAGGTCTGAGGTTCTGAGAGGCAGCTGTGAGGCTAATCTGAAGAAACACTCACTGAGTTGAAGACGACCCCAAAGGTGTCACACAGCCTCCAGTAGGACAAGATGTAGGGGGCTGTGTGTGTGAAAAAGAGCGAGCGAGCAAGGGAGCATGTGTGCTCCCTGTAGGCCTCTGTGTATTGTCCAGGTGAGGGTCTGGCCACTTGATCCTAACCTCCACTGACTAGGCTGTGGGGTCTCTGGGCCTGTGACCCCCGCTCCCCAGGAGAACCCCTAACTTGGGAGCTGCCCACCTTGAACTCAAGCACCAACCACACTCATGGGCTCTGAATGCCTACAGGTCCTCAAGGCCAAGCTGGAGACATCTCTGCTGCCAAGCTGAGACGTGGACGGCCGGGCACTTCCAGATGAGTCTGCCCTTCCAGAGGAGACTTCTCAGAAGCTTTAAGCCACTGGAATGTCCACTGGAGAGTTTGCCTGACTTGGAGACCACATCTACCCTAACATCACACTCTGAGCTCCCAGGTGGGCCACTGAAAAGCACAAGCTCGGCTCTGCCGCACAGGGTGAGTAGAGGGGTCATCTCTGGCCTGACTTTAGAGAAGTGAAGTTATGTCTTTTGTAGTCACACAGCATGAAGTCTTGGGAGGGATTTCAGTTCAAATTTGATTCCAAGGCTTTTATCCTCAAGCCAAGACAACACACTCAACCAGACAGGGGGTCTCAGGAGATCAGAGCAGCACGGTCCCCTACCTAACATTTTATGGATGTGGGCATGGAGGTGTTCTGTGACTTGTCCAAAGTCACGCTTATAAGAGATAAAGCCGGGAAAACAGATCCTGTGCCTTCTGCAGTCTCCTCCCGGATGGATCAGGCATCAGTTGGCAGGGGATGCATTAAACAGCATACAGCATATTTTTGAAATAAATGGCTCTGAAGTTATCCTTATATTCTTCTTTGTGACTGACGTGCTGTTCTCACTCCTCTAGGGAGTGTCCCAGGGAGACTGGGCTCCCTGGTGTGGGCTCCTGTGACTGGCTCTCTGGTTCTTTCCTTCCCATCCCTCTAGGAAGGTGGGCTGGGCTGGGGCAGGCTGGGGACAGAACTAATGTCAGTGTGTTGCTGGGAGTGGCTGACCCCCTATCAAACTGCCTCAGATTCTGCAGCCTCAGATTTTTCACCATCTGTGTTGCCAAGCCCAGGGGCACTCACTGTCCCCAGACTCCCCACTGCCTTCCTTCCTCCAGGACATAATCACAACCATATAACTTCCTGCCCTGAAAGCCTCTGCTCACAGGATCAAGTCCACATAGCTGAGTTTGGTGTTCATGGCCACTTCTAAACTGGACAGAAGTCTCACCTCCCACTCCTTCCCACACACTCCGATGTCCCAGATCAGCTGCACTGCAACCTGAGTGCACCAGTGATTTCCACACACTCGGCTCCGCGGCTCAGCCAAAGAAGGGCATGGGAGAGAAAGAAGGATGACAGAAACTGTCCTAGAGGATCTGTCTGCCATTCCCGGCCCTGAGTGAGAGGGAGGGAAGGCAGGGCAGGAGGTGGCCTTGCTGTGCCCTCCTGGGCTCCCAGTCCTGTGGGCTCCTCCCAGGATGAGTGTCTCATCACCCTGAGAATGGTGCTAAGGCCTAAAGACAGGCTGCGGTTGCACCACGCTGCCCCACATGCGAGCCCAGCACTTCACGTAACACACACATAGCAGTCTGTTCCAGTGCTGGAGGAAAAGCCAGTACATGAGGCCTAGAGAGACAAGACTGTCCTTTACAAGTGGGCAAAGAACAATTTTTCAGGGAATAAAATGACTATATGGTATTTTTGCTTTACTTTTTGGTTCAGAATCACTGAATTCTTTTTCTTCCAAACATGGGTTTTCTGCCCCTTCACCTCGTGCACACTCTTTCCTGACCCTCAGGAGTCAGCTCCCATGTCCCCTCTTCTGGGAGGCCTTTGCCCATGGCTCCAGGCAGACCTGATCAGAGCCTCCTCTGTCTCAAATGCCTCTATGAATGTCCCCATGTCAGGGCAGAGGTGATGCTGTGTTATGCTACCTCCCCCAGGAGTCTGGGACTACCCTCTGTGGCCCAGAGACACTGAGGGGATTTGCTGGGGGACATTAGGTGGGGGCTGGCTGGGCAGTGTGGTATCAACTCAATTCCTTCAACTTCTCACACCCATCTTGGACCCTCTAGAGATACCAATGTACCAGGCCTTCCTCATAAGCCATGGAGAATGTGCTGTGAAGGTCTGCTCCTAAGTGGAGAGGTGGAACATTCCTTACCCGGTGCAACCATAATTTCATTTTTCTTGGAGCGAATTCGAAGAAAGGTGAGGTCATTCTGGGGGTCAATTTCACGCACAGTGCTCCGAGCTTTCAAGATGAAGTTGTGCATAAGGTTGGCGTACTGTGTGGTGGTGGGATTGTCCATGGTGCTCTTGATGGGAATGCCTGAGGGGAGAACAGATGGAGACTGAGCAGGACGTTGCAGCCCCTTCCTGCCAAGCTCCCACCCCACACCCCTGATCCTAGAGCATGGGACTTGCAGTTAACAATCACTGCCACTATTCACAGAGGGCTTGCTATGTGACAAGCACAGTGCTGAGCACAAGTATGTCAGCAGCAGGCCCCAGAACTACTCTGTGGGTGATAACACTTCATGAGTCAATTAGGCAACAGGAGTACTGAGCAGCGAGGTGACCTGTCTGTGGTCACACAGGAGGTAAGCAGTGGGGCAAGACTCACATGGGGGTCTGCTGGCTCCACAACTGGGTTCCTTTCCCAGGGCTGTGCTTCCTGGACTGGCTTCCAGCAATGAGAGGAGAGACTATCACTCAGGATGCTTAGAACCCAAACCAGGAAGACAGCTCTTAAAATTTCTAAGTACTGAAAAGTGGGAATAAGAAAAAAAGGTCAACTTGTGCTAGGACATAACCATCACCATTTCCACCCAGGGGAGGCTCACAGGCCAGCTGTAAACACACTGTCTACACACATAATTGTGTCCCCAAATTAAAGTATATTTCTATGTCTATACTTAACCTTTGTAAACAGCATTGCTGCCCCTTTCAAAGAGCCCACGATGTGGACAGTCCACAGAGTTCACTATTCCTTTACTGTTGGGTACTCAGGCTGGGTTTTTTACAGTAAAGTCAACTGCATAATGAACATCATGGTGCACTACGCCTTTTGAGGATTACTTCCTTGAGATGGACTATTAAATGGACCTGCCCACTGGACAGTGCCTACAGTCATGGAGGTGAGGAATGTAGCTCAACTTGAGCCACCCAGGCCACAACTGGGTCATCAGGTGCCTGTGACTTGGCTGTGACATAGCAGCAGAAGGCTCCGTCCATGAGCCCACCAGGTGACATTCACGTGTGAAGAATATGGCTCCTCACACACAAGTGGCCCGATTTTGGGCCCAGGACCTGCTAATCTGGTCCATGACTGACCAGCCTAGGGGTCACCAAAGGCAGTCATCCTCAGGCCTGCCCACTGGGTGGCAAGAAACTGGCCTAACCTTGTCTCCTTAGGGCACCAGGAACACGGTTAGTTGTGGCCCAGATCAGCAGGGTCCTGGGCCCCAAATGTGACTTAGGCTTACACCCTGGCTCTGCCCCTTCACAGCTATGTGGCCTCAGCAAGTGGTTTAACTAACCTCTCTAGCCTCCACTGCCCCATCTGTAAAACAATGCCTATGCTTCAAAGTGCTGCTGTGAGAACTGCATATGGCTTAATTCATTTAAGAATGTTTAGCAAGAGTACACAGTAAGTATTAATTTTTTATCAATGCCACCCACATAATAAATCCCACTCCCAATAATCTGAGGGGATGTTGACTATTTCTTAAGCCTGCAAGGGCCTTGCTAACACACAAAGCCCACCTATTGAGGGCCAGGACCAGAGCTCAGATGGAGCCCAGGGTTGACTGTTCCTGCTGTCTGGCCAGGGACCTCCCCCTCGGCTCACCTTTGAGCCCTGAGAGTAAGAGGCCAACCAGTCTCAAGGCATGGCAAGGTTTGGGTGATTAGACCCCTTGACCTTCTCTTTTTATACAATGCAAGGCCACCTTCTTGCAGATCCCTCTGCTTAGAACTTTCCTTCCTTCCCCTACTGACTCATGGCTCCCACTGGGCCCTCATGTCTCCACTTCCTGCAGATGCCTCCTCTCCAGTGGTGGTCAGTGCCCCCACTCTACCATCCCAGCACTGTGCAGCTTTCCTTTAGGGTGATGTCACACTGTTACAGAAGTGACTGTTATGTCCCTCCCCACCACAGTGTAAGTTCCCTGAGGGCAAGATCAAGTCTCATTTGCTCACTAATATCCCTGAAAAGACTGCATTAAGCAACTGTAGGGCGACCCTGGGCATGGCCTGACCTCGTGGGATGTCCACATGTCTGTCTGTAAAGGTGGCAGCAATAATGTGTACCTACAGGACAGCCAGGGAATATATCATCAGACTGTGCCCCGCACAGTGCCAAGCATGTGACAAACACACAGTTCATACTATATCACCTCCATTTAGAGGGCTATTCTTAATCCTGGCCTGGGAGAGCATACCCTCTGCTGGGCACTGAAGGGCCTTCACAATTCTATGTGAGGCATGTCACTTAACCTCTCTGAACCTTGATTTCCTTGTCAGTAAAATGGATTGCTGTAATTATCAACCAGGGCCTAGCTTCCTAAAAGGAGCATTCAAGGGGGTTTTGAGGGGTGGGTGCTATTTGGATCAGTGGAGAGAGGAGTGGCCATTCCAGGCAGGGGTAAGAGCAAGAGCTAAGGCAAGAAGATGAAATAAAATAAGTCTCAGAAAAGAACACAATGGCTATGGGCTGCAGAGGCCCCCAGGAGAGACAGTGGGAAAGACTCCTCTGGAGAAAGAAGACTGACTCCCAAAAATGTGCAGTGATGTGGCCACCACATCCTTATCCAATGGCTCGTCCATCTCCAAATGTTGACAAGATTCTCACACCTGCCAAGGGTGTATTCTCAGCTTTGGGGCACCCCTGGGAGCTAATGTTCTAGTCTGTCAGCCATTCCCTTGCCCCGGGCACTGGTGGACAGTCTGGAGAATGACCAAAGGCATAGAGGTGGAACTCCAGTTCTACTACTTCCTTTTGGATAGGTTATTTCACCTCTTTCTAAGCCTCAGTTTCCCCATTTATAAAATGGAGATATTAATAGTTCCATCCTCATAGGATTGTTTTAAGGATTAAATGAACTAAGGTATGTGAAGTATTTATAATGGTACCTGAAAAAGGGTATTATTATTTTCAATCATGTTAGCTATTATAGGCATTATTACAATTATTAATCTAATGATCATAGCATCTAATGTGCTTGCAAAAATTTGTCTTTTTTTTCCCTTTGGGATTATTTCCTTTGAACACATTCCTCAAAGTAGAATTACCAAAAATCAAAGGGACTGGTGGCAACACTGACTGTGGTTTGTTCATTTAACAAACATTCACTGACCTGAATCAGCTGCATGTGCTGGTTGGACACTGGGAACAGAGGTGAGTTGGACACCATCCTGGCCTGGCCTTTACTAGCCAAGGTGCTGCTATTAGCAGCAATGTCTCAGCGTACCTGTCCCTCCCAGCCTCACACTGCATTATTATTTTTGTATACTCTAGTAAGGTTGTTTTTAAATTGGTCAAACCCTTTCCCCAAATTAAAACTAATGCAGAAACACAAGCTAAAGCATCTGAGTGGGGCTGCTCTGACTGAAGTGGAAAACAGGGACCTGGGCCTCCATCTCTACTACTAGGGGCAGCAAAGAACCCCAAGGCTTAAGGAACAAAGCCCTAAAAACACATCCTAGGCAGTCTCTCTGAGGGAAAGCCTTCAGATGGATACAGATCTGCTCTGAGTCTTAGGTCTGTGGCTCTCACTGCAGCCTCTTCTGGTTAGAATCTACTCTCTAAAGCAGAATTTTCTAAACTCGTCTGATCATAACAATCTCCTGGGGTACTTGATAAATACACAGATTTCTCAGGTCTCACCATAGTCCTAATAAATCAGACTTTCTAGTGCAGAGGCCTGGAAAGCTGTATGTTCAACAAGAGCCCCAGGTGATTCTAATGAATGGATAAATTTGGGAAACACTGTGGCCTAGAGGCATGAAGCATGTGGATTCTCCCAACCCAATAGGGGAAGCTGACCAGGTAATTGGGTTTGTATAAACAAATGACTCCCACCCCAAAACTGAGGGTGACAATATTGTACTAAATGGTTTACCTTGTTCATTCTTAGTTAATCTTTCCAACCTATACAGTAAATATAATTATTATCTACATTTACAGGCTTAAGTGACTTGCCCAAGGCTACAAAACTAATCAGGAGAATAGGCAGGATTCAAACTCACAACTGCTGGCTTCTGGAGCCCCTGTGCTTACTGCTGCCTATAGCATCAGGGCCTGGGGCCACAGACCAACAGCTACTCTCTGGTTCTTCCCAGCATAGTGTGGGAGAAAGCACACATGCACTCAGACAGACTTGGATTTAAATCTTGGCTCTATGATGGCAGGCAAATCAATTAAATTTCTAGACTCAGTTTTCTCCTCTGCAAAATGGAAACAACAAGGATGCTTTAAGGAATAAATGAAACAGTATGTTTGTAAATCACCAGCCAGAGACCTGGAACAGAGCAAGTATGCGATAAACGTTAGATCCCTTCTTTACGATGTCCAGTGTGATTTGGGAAAACTAGTACCTGTACCCTCCTTCTAGTTGCTCAAACTACCCCCTAGAAGAGGGAGGAGAAGCTATAGGTACAAAGAAGTCAACTAGAGAATTATCTAGCAAAAAAGCAGAATCAAGACAAATGGGTACATAATACTCACTTAATGGGTTCCATACAGAAGTAGAAACAACATAAATAGGTTAATGAACATTGTGCTGGCACTTAAAAAATTTGCTTATGTAAAACCATGAAAGCAATATTTAAAAAACTTCATATGTAAACATATGCAAAATAGTAACAACTATGATTATGACCATCCAACACTGTGTCTGGACAAGGCTGAAAAAGCATGGAATACTGAACAGTGTTCTGTCAGGGCAGTGGGATTGAGTGGATTTTCCTTTGTTAGAATATTGGAGGTGTAAAAAAAAAAAAAAGCTTAAAATTAGATCAGGCACACGAAGGGGCTTAGTAAAATAAACAGCAAGCTTATGTGGTGTTTGGGCTGTTCCCAGGGGCCTTTCTGGGTGTGGGTCATGGCGGGATTGGGCGTACCTTCTGTGTTCACCACAATGATTCCCTGCACTCCTTTCTGGCTCTGAAGTCGCTTCAGTGTCTCTTCCACCTCTGCCTGCCAGAAAACAAGACCAAGGTTAGGAGGGATCAGTAGACTGGATTAACTTCCTCATAGCCCAAGTAGATGAATCACACATTTGTCTTTCAACAACAAACAAGTAATACTCGGGCACTTGGCACCTACTCAAAGCTCCCCAGGCCACCACCACTAGCCTAGAGCATCTGCTCACACCTCCCTGCTCCTGGCACTTTGTCCACCAGGCACTATTATCCCTTCCCCCTCAGCTATTTGGGGACAGGATATAAATGTATATATACACATCCATAACGCATATATTTGGTATAGCAGGGGACAGGACTCTGATGATTTGAAAAAACCCAAACAGTAGTGCCTAACAGGAAGAAGACACTTGGCCATTTGTGGCCCAAACAGCACAACTGAAAACATTCCAAAGGAAGCAAAATGACCCCATGAGCATAGACTCAGTGACTTAATAAGCTGGCATCTAAGATAATGTGACACATGGCATATAGCCACCAGAAGTGTGCCTCAGGAAGGGGCTCATCAATCCTGATTTTCCAGAAACTACTCAGGGTGGGATACTCTGGCATATGACAGTTATAACTACAAGGAAGACAGTCAGATGTTTGGGTCCTCACCCTGCCATACAAGGCCTTTTACACTATCACTTTCACCTTCTTTATCTTCCCCTCCACTCTCCATCTACATGCTAACACCTTCCTGCCACCCTACAAGGGCTCTTCTCTGCTGAAATCCAATAAATTCTTCTAGACAACTTAAGACATCACCTCCTCCCCAAAGCTTTTACTGATCCCCCAGTTCAACGGAGTCTTTGCCTACCTCTGACTCCCCAGCCCCTGGGCTGTGCCTCTCTGGGACATGTATTAGGTACTGTGCCTAATTACTTAGAGACCACAATGGCCTGCAGAGTAAGAGCATGATAAACAGCTGCTTAACTGAACTAGGCCTAACTCTTCCTGTGGATGGAAACTGGCCTTGAAGTGTGCTTGTTTTCAGGAGGCCCTGTTCAGACTGGTCTAGAATCCAATCAGAAGTTCCTCAAAGGCTGAGCGCTATTAGAGACAGAGGCTCCATTCACCAAAAGAAAATGGTTCCCCACCCCCAGGGGCTAACAGTTTGGTGGTGGTGGTGGGGGGGATCCTAAACATAGGGTGGAGACAGCACAATGAATTATTGTTTTTCTGGAAGGCACAAGGCTGACAATCACTGCCACCCACTCCCATGTGAAGTAGGAATACTCTCTCTCTCTCTCTCTTTTTTTTGAGACAAAGTCCCACTCTGTTTCCCAGGCTAGAGTGAGTGCTGTGGCATCAGCCTAGTTCACAGCAACCTCAAACTCCTGGCCTCAAGCAATCCACCTGCCTCAGCCTCCCGAGTAGCTGGGACTACAGGGATGCACTACTATGCCCGGCTAATTTTTTCTATATATTTTTAGTTGTCCAGCTAATCTTTCTATTTTTAGTAGAGACGGGGGTCTCGCTCTTGCTCAGGCTGGTCTTGAACTCCCGAGCTCAAACGATCTGCCCGCCTCAGCCTCCCAGAGAAGAATACTCTCAAACACTAGAGGGTAGAGGAAACAAGTTCCTCCTATAAAATGGCAAATAGCCTGATGCCTCTAAAATCTGGAGCCTGGGTAAAATGATAGGACCCCATAGACGTGAGAGTACAATACAGTGGTTCGTTCATACATGTGTGAGATCTTAAGTAACTCAACAGGCTTTCACTGAGCTCCTACTGTGTGCCAGGTGCTATTCTGGGCAGGGTGGTAAGCACAACAGTGCTCAATACTGTATAGTACTCAATCTGACATATGTAAGATAGCTCAATCAATCTGCAATCAACCCAGGAAAGAAAGGGAAAAGAATGTTAAAACCAAAGATGTCAAAATCCAGGTCCAAAATATCCCCCAGATATTTTGAAATGAAAAAGCTGAAAGTTGTTTTAGGCTGGGGATGCTGTAGTGAACAAAATATAACACAATTTTCTGCCCTTGTGAAGCTGACATCTGTGGGAGTGTTGAAAGTGCGTCAGACATTAAACAACAAAAATGTTAAAAAAAAAAAGTCAGCTACAGTAGGGAAGGGGGATCTAGATAATGGGAATATTAAATAACATCATGAGAGAAGGCCTCATAATGTGATGGCTGAGTAGAGCTCTGAAGGAAATGAAGGAGCTAGCCATGCAGATTTCTGGAAAGTATTCCAGATAGCACAAAGAGCCAGTACAAAAGCACTGGGTTGGGAGAGTGTCTGGCATGCTCAAGAAAAAGCAAAGGAGCCAGTGTGGCTGAAGGGCAGTGAGCGAGAGAAGAGGGGGGCCCGCAACCAGGACTGGATCACAGTGAGGGCCTGGAAAACCAAGTAATGACTCTGGTTTTTGCTGAGTATGATTCGTGGAGCCACAAGTTTTGAGGTAAAGAATAATAAGATCTGATGTTTCAAAAGGATGGCCCTGGCTGCTGTGTGGAGAACGGACAGCAGGGGGCAAACGCAGCCTGTCAGGAGTCCTGGCCTCCAGCCCTGGCCCTTGTCAGGTCCTGTTTCCTATCTGAAGGAAACAAGCCTCTCTCTCCCCTCTCCCTCATGCACTGCTTGATGTAACTAACTCCCAACCCATTGGACTCAGCTCCCGAGCCTCCTGTGGAAGGCATTCTCTGAGGTCAGTCCCTCTTCTGGGCCCCTGTGGCACCCAGCCTTCGCAGACTTATTACAATGGAGTGTTCACTGTCTGTCTTACATGTATCTCCTCCTCAGACTCCAGGCACCTTGGGAGTAGGGCCCTAGACTTTATAGCTCCAGTACTTGGCAAAGGATATACTCAATAAATACTGAAGGAACAAACGAAAAGCATTTCTGCAACTATGTGTCACAAAATCAACCCTTTTAAGTACAGAAGGGGGGCATGGCCTTACAATACCCAGTGTGAAAAAGAGCTAAGGTTTAGGTGATCCTAAGTTTAATGAGAACCATCCACTGAGATCTGGCTGTTTAAAAAGTAAACACACACCAGGAATAGGAGGACACACTGGTATACATTTATCTACTCAGTACCTACTACGGGTCATATATTGCTTTGAGACACATGCCTTGCCTGAGCCTCTCATTTACCTTCCATGGTTAGTATGATCTCCATGTTACAAGAAACATGGTTCAGAAAGGAGAAGAGCTTTGCCTAAGAACACAGAGTAGGTCAAGAGAAGAGCTGAATATATTTAATACCAATGACCACAACGATGAGGCCCCTGCCTTCAAGGAGCTCACATTCTGGTGCAAGAGATTTATAAAAATAAAACAAGGCCCGGCACGGTGGCTCACGACTGTAATCCTAGCACTCTGAGAGGCCGAGGCGGGCAGATTGCTCAAGATAAGGAGTTTGAAACCAGCCTGAGTAAGAGTGAGACCCCGTCTCTACTAAAAATAGAAAAATTAATTGACCAACTAAAAAAATATATAGAAAAACTTAGCCAGGCATGGTGGTGCATGCCTGTAGTCCCAGTTACTCGGGAGGCTGAGGCAGAAAGATTGCTTAAGCCCAGGAGTTTGAGGTTGCAGTGAGCTAGGCTGACACCATGGCACTCTAGCCCAGGCAACACAGTGAGACTCTGTCTCAAAAAACCCAAAAAACAAAAAAACCCACAAACAACCACATGTACTCACCAGCAAATTGGTATTAACGGATCAACACTTAAGTGGACATATAGGAATAACATTTATCAGGTGTCAGATGGGTGGGAGGCGGGGCATGGGCAATAGATATAACCTTAACATTTGTACCCCCATAATATGCTGAAATAAAAATAAATAAATAAATATCTGCATAATAAATGTATCAAAGAATATATCTCCAAAACAAACAAACAAACAAACAAACAAACAAACAAGTGAGCAATATTCTTGCAGGGCATAGGGACTACGTTAAGGGTCAGGGGATGCTACTTTGGCTAGTGTGCTCAGGAATACCTGAGCATGTAATCTTTAAGGCAAGAACTAAATGATGAGAAAGAAATGCACTCCAGGCAATGGGTTCTTTAGTTCCCAGGTGCATGTATAGTGATAGATGGAAGAACAAGCAGCACCATGTACAAAAAATTTAAGAAAAATTCTTAAAAAAACAAAAGAAAAAACAAGCAGCCATAAAACTCCAGGCTCAGCATAGGAGTGACAACTATCTGAAGCAAATGATTTAGGAAGGAACTGTGACCAATTTGACTACTAAGCATAAAGCTTAACTTCTGTAAAACAATAATCAATCAAATAGGACAGAAAAATATGTGCATCAAATATAACAGACAAAAGTAATTCTAAAAACATCACATAAAATGATTAGGAAAAATAGCAAGTCTCCAATAGGTGGTGAGCAAAAAGGATACTAGTAAACAATATACCTAAGAGAAATTATAAACAACAAAAATGACCATAATTCCCTGTAAACAAAGGAATGAAAAATTACACCAGTGCTGAGGTTTCTTTTTAAATGTCGGCATTTTTATGGCAAACGGTATAAGGGCTAAACTACCTTTTGGGAAAGCTACAGGATGATATATTGCAAAGACCATAAAAGTATTCATCTCTTTGCCTCAGAAATTCTTTTCCTGAGAAATTGTCCTAAGGAAATACTCTAATAAGTTAAAAAAACAAAACAAAACAAACTATACACATGCAGAAGCATCATCACAGCATCATCTCTACTAATTAAGAACTGGAAGCAATCCAAATGTTCACAAAATTAAAGTATAACTATTTCACTATTATGCTGTCACTAAATAGTTCATCACAAACATGATATAGCAATAAGGTTAAATGTTTTGGGTCATTAAAACAAAGACAAAAGAAAAAAACAAACAAAAAAACACCCAGCATGTATATCTTGAAAAATATGCACATGTGAACAAAGAGGAAGGGGAACATATAAAGATGAAAACAGTCGTGTGGAGGAGTAAAACTGGAAGAGGAGAATTATGATTTTTATATCATTGTTCTAAAGGGCAATTTCCACCAAAATGTAAAATATGCATGCCAGAAGTGCCACTTCTAGGAATCTATCCTATATAACTGCTAGCATGAGTGCAAAAAACACACGAACAGTTATTGTAGCATTGTCGGGAGTAAAAATCTATAAACCACCTGAATGTGTATAGGGGAATAGGATACTATACAGCCCTTAAAAAGAATCAAGTACATCTATGTATGACACAGAAAAATGTATGATTTTTTAAGTGAATAGAGCAAGTTGCAGAATGAGATATATATTCATATAGCTTAAAATAAACTTAACATGTATAAATATATATGTTGTTTGTTTCATGTAATAAGCAGCTTATATAAAAATGTGCTTATGTATCAAACAAATCTGGAAGGAAACATACCCAACTGCCAACAGTAGTTACTACAGGGTAGCAAGATGGAGACTACATGTATTTTCTCTATTATATACTATAATACAAAACTATAGTAACCAAAACAGCATTGTATTGATATAAAAACAGACCCATAGATCAGCGGAACAGAATAGAGAACCTAGAAACAAATCCACACATTTATAGCCAATTGATTTTTCCTTTTTCTTTTTTTAATTATTTTATTTTGAGACACAGTCACGCTCTGTTACCCCTAGAGTGCAGTGGTGTCATCACAGCTCACTGCAACCTCAAACTCCTGGGCTCAAACTATCCTCCTGTCTCAGCCTCCCAAGTACCTGGGCCTATAGGTGCCCACTATGATGCTTGGCTAATTTTTTCTATTTTTATTAGAGATGGGGTCTCGCTCTTGCTCAGGGTGGTAGAACTCCTGACCTCAAGCAATCCTCCCACCTCAGCCTCCCAGATTAGGGAGCTAGGATTACAAGCATGAGCCACCATGCCCAGTCCTTTTCTTTTTAAAATTTATTTTATTATTATTTTTTTAAGATACAGATTCTCGTTACATTGCCTAGACTGGTCTTGAACTCCTGAGCTCAACTGATCCTCCTATCTCAGCCTCCCAAGTCACTGGGATTAAAAGGGGGGAGCCACCACATGCAGCTACAGCCAACTTATTTTTGACAAAGGTGCCAAGAATGTACACTTGGGAAAGGACAGTCTCTTCAATAAATGGTGTTGGGAAAACTAGATGGATATACATTTGCAGGAGAATGACTAGACCCCTACCCCTCACCACAAATGAAAATCAAATCAAAATGTATTAAATACTTAAATGTAAGACCTGAAATCATAAAACTACTAAAAGAAAACACTGAGAAGTGCTTTAGGACATGGTCTAGGCAAAGATTTATAGCCAAGACTTCAAAAGCACAGGAAACAAAAACAGACAAATGGGATTATATTAAACTAAAAAGCTTCTGTACTGCAAAGGTAAAAGAGTGAAGAGAAAACCTGTAATGGGAGAGAATATTTGCAAACTATTCATCTGACAAGGGAATAATATCCAGAATACATAAAGAACTCTAATATCTCAACTGCTAAAAAAAAAAATAATCCCATTAAAAAATGGGCAAAGCATCTGAATAGTCTTTTCAAAAGAAGACATACAAATGGCTAATAGGTATATGAAAAAATGCTCACCATCACTAATCATCAGAGAAATGTAAATCAAAACCACAATGACATATCACCTCACCCCAGTTAAAATGGCTATTATCAAAAGGACAAAAAATAACTGGTGGTGAGGATGCAGAGAAAAGGGAACTCATATACTGTTGGTAGGACGTGAGTGAGTACATACAGGATGTTTGCAAAACAGTATGGAGGGTTTTCAAAAAACTAAAACTAGCAGGGCATGGTGGTGGTATCTATAGTCCCAGCTACTTGGGAATCTGAGGCCAGAGGACTGCTTGAGCCCAGGTGTTCAAATCCAGCCTGGACAACAGAGACCCCTTCTCTTAAAAAAACTCCAAACAAATGAAAATAGAACTACCATACTCCAGCAATTTCATTATTGGGTATTTATTCAAAGGAAAGGAAATTAGTATATCAAAGGGATGAGGGATAGCTGCACCCCTTGTATATTACAGCATTATTCACAATAGCCAAGATAGGGACTCAAGTGTTCAGGAATAGATGAATGGAGAAAATGTGGTGTATATATACATAATGGAATATTATTCAGCCATAAAAAGAATGAAATCCTGTCATTTGCAGCAATGGAATGGAACTGGAGATTATTACATTAAGTGAAATAAGCCAGGCACACAAAGACAAACATTCCATGTTCTCACACATATGTGGGAGCTAAAAAAGTTGATCTCTTGAAGGTAGAGAGCAGAATGATGGTTACCAGAGACTGGGAAGGGGTGAGGGATGAACAGAGAGGTTGGTTAATGGGTACAAAAATACAGTTAGATACAAGGAATAAGTTCTAGTGTTTGATAGCACAGTAGGGTGACTATAGTTAACAATAATTTACTGTATATTTCAAAATAGCTAGAAGATCTGAAATGTTCTCAACACAAAGAAATAATAAATGATTGAGGTGATGGATATCTAAAACACTGATTTGATCATTACACATTGTATGAATGTGTCAAAATATCACATGTACCCCATAAATATGTACAGCTATTGTGTATCAAAAAATTAACATTTGTGGCCAGGCTTGGTGGCTCATGCCTGTAATCCCATCACTTTGCAAGGCCTAGGAGGGAGGATCACTTGAGCCCAGAAGTTCAAGACCAGGCTAGGCAACATAGCAAGCCCTTGTTTCTATAGAAAATTAAAAAAATTAGCCAAGTGTGGTTGTGTATGTCTGTAGTCCTAGGTACTCTCGAGGATGAGCCAGGAGGCTTGCTGGCACGGTAGCCCGGGGGACAAAGCAAGACCCTGTCTTGAAAAAAAAAAATTTTTTTTTTTACAGTTTAAAAAGTGACGTGGGCAATCCTAGCACTCCGGGAGGTCTAGGCAGGAGGATCATCTGAGCTCAGGAGTTCGAGACCAGCCTGAGCAAGAGAGAGACCCCGTTGTTACTAAAAATAGAAAGAAATTAGTAGGCCTACTAGAAATATATAGAAAAAATTAGCCAGGCATGGTGGCACGTGCCTGTAGTCCCAGCTACTCGGGAGGCTGAGGCAGAAGGATCGCTTGAACCCAGGAGTTTAAGGTTGCTGTGAGCTAGGTTGACACCACCAGCACTGTAGCCCCCACAACAAAGTGAGACTCTGTCTCAAAAAAAAAAAAAAAAGTGATGTGAAAGATGATATTATATATATTTGAAGCATTATTACATATTTTTAATGATGTGGAGACATTCTTTGTGGCATAATAATGAAGAAGGCAGAACCCACAAATGTACGCACATTCAATATGAGCTAAATTACACATGGAAGCAAAAAAGGAATAGGCCTAACTGCAAGTGGTTGCCTCTAAGTGATGGCACTGTTTCTTTTTTCAATTTTTCTTATAAACCTTAGATATCTGAAATAAGAGTTTTGAAAAAGTAATGCACTCACATGGTTTAACACTTAAAAGGTCTTTTCAAATTTTGTAGAAGCTGTGAGGATTAAGAACACAAGAAAACAAAAAACCCTGGAAAGGCGTAAAGGGACCCCACAGTTGCAGCCAGCAAAGTAGGCTGTGGGATCCCCAAAGGTAGGCCCCGCCGGTTCCTGACTCACGCACCTAGTCCCAGCGGCTCCAAGGAGCCACACTGACAGAGTGGCGGCAGTCAAGCTTCTAGGGTTCAAAATCCACCTCCACCTCTCCTAGGGCAAGACACTCAGTTTCACGGGACTTCCTTCAGATTCCAAATTTGCAAAATGGGGCTAATGGTCGTGTCTACCTCACATCGCTGTGAGGAAGAAGAAAGGCAAGATACACAAAGCGCTTAGCGGAGCCTGCCACAAACTGAGCTTCCAAGAAACGCTACCAAGGCTGGCACCGCGCAACAAGGCCCAGGACGCTAGGCCGCCCCCACCCCTCCGACTCCTCGCTGAGGCCCGGGCTCCCGCTTCCGGTCAAGGGGCAGAGGGATCCGGTGGCCCCGCCTCGGTCTGGGTCTGGAGGCCCGCGCCGCCGGGGTTCCGCCCTCCAGCCATCCCGTCCCGGTCCCGGCCACGCCCAGCCCCACGGATTCCTCGTCCGGCGCTCTGAGTCTCCTCCACCCACGGAGGATGGAAGGCCCCGCGCGGGTGGTGGGCGGCCGCCAGCTACCAGCCCGGGGCACACACTCACCATCTTGGACCGATTCGGCAGCTCCGCGTCGCCGATACGCAGCCCAGACCCCAGCCTTTCTGCGTCTGCGCGGTTTTCTGTGAAAACGGACAGCCCCGGTAGCCTATCAGGAGCCAGCGTGGGGCGGGCGAGCCGATCCTAAGTCTGCTGTCTCAAAGCGAAAGAGCGCTTTCGCTGTGGAAAATTCTTAACTCCAGCTGTGCCGAAGGGATGCTGGTTCTCGGTGTCGCAAGAAGCATTCAGCTCTCAATCGAGGTCTGAGCTGGCTCTGGAAACCCTGGGTGGAGGAAGAGTATGAAAGCGAGGGGGGGGGCGGTTGCTGAGACCCCTTTGCGCCCAGATTGAGGCAAAGAGAGAGGCCCAGAGCCCAAACGCGCTGAAGACATGGGAAAGTGCGGGGTTGGGGCTGTAGTCAGGTTCCGCTGGAGGCTCCAGAGCGACCCCCTTGGGAATATTTCATCCAAGTTCTGAGATAAATTGGTCAGGGCTGGCCTGGGAGTTTACAGACGAGGGAATGGAGCTCAGCCCCACCCCTGAGTTACCGTGGAGAAGCCTCTTCACATCTCTGTGCTCTATCATTTTCTCACCTTCAAAACGGGCTCCCTTTTTCCCAGAGCCCTATGTTGTCCCGTTTTACGCTATTTAAACGTACTTCTGGATCCTCTAGCAGTAAATAACTTATGCTAAAACATGCGGCCATTTGGTGAACCTTGCGCCACGTTACTGTGCTGAACATTCACAAATGCGTTATGTCCAGTAGCATAGTGAGTATCGGTCCCCGATACTTTACAAATGCTGTCTCTTCCAGTCACTGGAGCTTGCTAAATCAGATCAGCTGTGGTGATCTAACTCCAAATTTTCATTCCACGGTAGCAGTGGGGAAGGATTTGGTGCTGCTTCAGGGGTGTGTCTGCATGTTAAGAAGATTGGATAGCGACTTTACAACGAAGAAACCTAGCAGACACCACCTTAACCAGGAGATCAAGGTTCATATTACTGGTAACAGGACATATTGATGTCGTGTGCCCTGTGATACGATGTGCCAAGGGCACATCACCTCCGTGGTATTTTTCACAAAAACCTCCAGCCTTCACCATGAGAAAATTAAACTAAACCCAATTAGAGGATATTCTACAAGGTACCTAACCAGTACTCTTCAAAACTCTCAAAGTCGTGAAAGACAAGGAATGAATGAGGAACTGTCACACATTGGAGGAGACCAAGGAGAAAGAAAAACAACATTGGTGGAAAAACTGGTGAAATCAGAGTAAGTACTGTAGTTTAGAGTTGTTTTTTTTTTTTAACCAATGTTAATTTATTAGTTTTGATAACTAGCTTCGTGGGATGTTAACATTGGGAAAAGCTAGCTGAAAAGCATGCAGGAATTCACTGTACCATTTTTGTAACAGTTCTGTAAACGTAAAATTTTTAAATAAAGGGTTTAAAAAGGGATCGAATACAGAGGAATGACTGTTGAATGCTGAAAACATTAGGAAAGAATTTAGCTGGGGGAACAAGTGCTGCGCTGACTGGACTCCAAAATATCCTGGAAGGTAAGTGCAGGAGTAATCACCACTATCTTGAATATACAGAACCAGAGTGAAATAATTTAAAATATACATCGCAATCCTAGAAGCCATAGTTCATGTGACTGGGGCCAAAAAAGAGTGAAGGAGCTGGAGATAGGGCCAAGAGTGTCCTTGAGTGACAGGCTTACATATTTGGAAGTTTATTCTGTGGTAATAGAGGAATCATTGTAAGATTTTAGGCAGAGGCAGCATGAGACAGAGGTCTTCCACAGATCACCCTGAGGCAGCACAGAAGATAGACTGGAGAAGGCAGAATGGAAGCAAAGACAAGGGTGAGCCAGGTTATGGGTAAGGGATGTGGGCTATGGTAATGGGGTCAGCTCTGAGGGAAGGGATTCAAAAAAGTTTTGGAGTTGTATTTGACAGGATTTGGAGATTAATTAGATGGAATGGCTAAATTAGCCATTGCAAGTATGACTGCATATTCTCAAGGTCTTTCCCTGTGGTGTGCCTTGAGGAAATCATATTGTCCATGGCTACTCTTTGCTAAACAGGAACCTGTTCATAAGGGACCAACATTGTCCTTATGGAGTCTCCTCTCCTTGCCAACCAGAAGATTCCCCTGGCTCCACCCCACAAATGTCCTGCTCACAAAGGAGACCTACAAACACATAGAGTCTGACAACAAAATGAGCAGGGAGTGATAGCACCTTCTGCTCTGGAGTTACATGATGTGAGACATTCTTCTTAAAAGTCCAGAGAACAGCAGCCCGTCAGTTTGATGCTTTGTAAGTTTTGGGATGGAGAGCCAAAACTTACAGTAAGTGAGTCAATTGGTCTGACCCTTGTCTTTGCTTCCATTCTGCCTCCTCCAGTCTATTTTCTGTGCTGCCTCAGGGTGATCTGTGGAAGACTTCTGTCTCATGCTGCCTCTGCCTAAAATCTTACAATGATTCCTCTATTACCACAGAATAAACTTCCAAATATGTAAGCCTGTCACTCAAGGACACTCTTGGCCCTATCTCCAGCTCCTTCACTCTTTTTTGGCCCCAGTCACATGAACTATTGGCTTCTAGAATTGCAATATATATCTTAAATTATTTCACTCTGGTTCTACATATGCAAGATAGTGCTGATGAACACTTTGCACTTACCTTCCAGGATATTTTGGAGTCCAGTCACTGCAGCACTTGTCAATGGTCAGTAAGAACAATTATTCCCAATAGAAGATTTCTTCATGCTTAATGTATGTGTGTGTGTGTGTGGGGGGTAATCTTTGCCCTTTTTCTTACACACAATGAAGCTAGAGCTTTCTGGTTGCTTCTGAGACAGATTATTAATAAATAGGACAGGGTCTACTACTCAGGACCCTGGGGGGGGGCTGTTTGTGTTCTACAATCACTGTTAGATCAGCATATTAAATTCTATTTCCCTTAGCCTTTCTCTTGGTTCTGTTTTATTTATTTTTTTTGGGGGGGGGGTGCTGTTCACACTGTTTATTTGCTCCTCTGAAAAAAGTCAAGAACATTGGGGGCCTCATCGAACATCGAAAGCAGAAAGGGTGAGGCAAGGACACTTCAATAAAGGCTCACGGCTTGAGGGACGCAGGCAGACTCCAGGGAGGAAGAGGAGGAATTCCAGGTCACCCCCAGAGAGGGCCTCTCCTCCTAGCCATGCAGGGGCAGAACTCAGACTGGGACCCAGGCTCCTGTCTGAGGTGGCCCCTACACCTGCCCTGCTGAGGCTATAGGTCGTCATTGGACTGAGAAGTGGCCTGGGCCCCAGCCTGAGGCCCCTAGGGAAGGAGTCAAGACAGAACCTGGTCATCCAAAGCCAACCTTGGTTCTGTTTTAAATGTGAGCATGGTCATCTAGGTTTCCTAATAAGAAAAAGGTCTACTAAAACTTTTCGGTAGATGAGCAAGCCAGCTTATAAAGAACAGTCAATCTAGGTAGCTAGGGTGGTTCTCTACTCAGCATTTATGGCTCGGGTTCTGTCTTAGAGCACTTTTGTCTCAGAAAAGCAATTCAGATGGAGGCCCTAATGTTTGTTAGTGGCCCTTATAGATGTCTTCATTTTCAACATAGGCACCGAATCCAATCTCATCTGAGTAGATCTTTCTAGTTTGTTTCTATCCACACCACAGGACAGATTGTAAGTTGCCACTTATGAAAGCTGAGCGGCAGAAGTCTATATGCCTGGGTCACATAGAAGTCTTCTCTGTGGGAGGTTGGGGGTAGACAATAGCTTTTTACCCAAAACTAACAGAAGTGTACAAATGAAGGACCAAAAAACTTTAATTATAAACACAGTCTTACATTGTTTAAGGAAATACAAATGAGGCAACCCCTGAGGGAACTTTAAACATACTTGACTCCCTGTGATATTTGTAGAGTTACCTTAGTATTAGAAATTATACTCCAAGAAAACAAAGGTACTCCAATATAGTAATATACAATCTACTGCTGTCACTCCCTATTATTAGTTAATGAAAGCATAATGTAATTTTGTAAATAACCCTAAAAGAAAAGCAATAAAAGGAGGGGGGCTGGAGATACCAACAATACTAAATAGAAGTAGTTAACTCTAAATGAGTTTAGAAGGACAGAGTTACATCCAAAACAAGGAGGGATATAAAAACAGAGGAAAAGTTTAAATTCCAAGAATCACCCTTGATAACATTTCAGATTTTTAACCAGTTAAGTAAAAAGTGGCAGAGTGGGCTTGACTGGAATACTTCACTGTGTGTACTTGAGCATGTTTCGTTAAAATTTCTGATGAGCTGACATCGGTATGTCAATCGCTTGATGAAAAATTAGTACCTAAATTTTTTTTCCCCAAGAGAAGGTGTGTCATTATGTTGCCCAGACTGGAATTGAACTCCTGAGCTCAAGCGTTCCTTCTGCCTCAGCCTCCTACGTACAGTATCTGAATTTTAAATAGAATTATTGCAAATCTTATGAAATGAGATTCTTTTTTACTCTGACATATGATAATAAAAGACAGAGCGGGAATGCATTATTATGAACTTCTTGATCAGTTTTAAACCACTCCATCTGATGAAACAAGTGAGGTCCTTCTCTCCTGACTAGGCTGTGGAATGCTGCCTTCCCCAACCCCTCCCCGCAAAAGAGCAGAAAAATAACTCAATTGCTCATTTTGTTTTTATTTCAACGTAACATGCA